ATAACGCCAAGAAACTGAACCAGAGCCAAGGCTAAAGGTGTAACCCTGTGACGACCGCTGCGTAGCCTGGTCGTCAAACCAGTGAGGACAACTGCGCTCCGCCCTCCAAGCACGAGCCCCATGCCCGATGTACCGCACAAGTAGCGCAGTACCCTCTTCGCAGCATCCATGTGCACCTTTCGGTGCCGACCAGGAGCCACGTAGCGAGCCAGAAGGCCAAGAGGGTACGCAAGGTCAGGTCGAGTGCAGGTCATCAGGTACATGAGGCAGCCCACTAGCTCTGGGTACGGGCCACTCGGCTCTACGGTCTCGTCCGAAGGTGGAGCGGAGAGCGAGTGGCCTGTAGCCAGAGGAGTGTGCTGTGGCGAGGACCTGGTGAAGCCGAAGCGCTGAAGGAACTGCTGCACCATGTGTGACTGAGTCAGTGTGATGGTGCGGCGTGCTCTGTCCTGGGTGATCTGCAAGCCAAGGTAGCTGCGCAGTTCACCCAGGTCTGTGCACGTGTGTCTCTTCTGCAGCTCCGACTTCACCAGGGAAAGAGCCTCAGTGTCAGCAGTGGCAAAGACCAAGTCGTTGACGTACACGAGGATGTAGAACGGCGGTAGCGACATGTCGGTGCGCAGAACATCGACGGGTCTGCAGTCGACGGAGCAAACCCAAGGGCCGCAAGTGTAGTCCTCAGTGTCTCGTGCCACTCACGCGGTGCCTGGCGGAGACCGTAGACCGGCCGCCGGAGGCTCCGCTGGGTACCAGGAGGGAACGACCCAGTGAAGCCAGGAGGGCGGCGCAGCCAGATCTCCTCGTGTAGGCTGCCCTGTAAGAAAGCTGTGCTGAAGTCAAGAGAGTGAAGCTCATAGTCACGCTGAGCGGCAACGTGTAGCAGCACCCGAAGAGTGGTCATCTTCGGGTGGGGGAGAAGGTCTGAAAGAAGTCTACTCCCTCTCGCTGACTGAAACCTCGAGCAAAGTAACGAGCCTTGAAGACAGGCGGAGAACCTGGCGGCCGCTTCACCCTGAAAATCCACATGCCACTGACGATGTTCGCTCCAGGAGGGGGAACCTCGTCAACGCAAGTGCCTGTGGACTTCCAGGATGCCATCTCTGCGTCCATGGCTGTCTGCCACTAAGAGGAGTACTCACCCGCGATCGCCTCAGCGTAAGAGTGCGGGGTCGGGATGTCTGGTGCATCCGGGTCTCCCTCAGGGGCAAGCAGCATGGACACGAGATGAGGCGCAGCGGCTGCAAGACACTCAAGGTCCTCCTGCCTGTCCTCAAGGACGTCCGTGCAAGAGCACACTCACCCCGACGGACGGAGGACAGACAGACTCTGACTCAGCAACAAGACTAGCGGCGTAGTCTAGACGACAGGCAGCAGCAAAGTCAACAAGCTCAGCGACTAAGGCAGACGCAGCAGCAGACTCAAACGACGGGTCAGTGACAACTGTGGCTAGCAGACGCGTGACAGTAGAGTGAGCAGCACGGGTGCGGTCAGACTCAGGCTCAGGAACGGTAGGCAGAGAAGACGCAGGAGGGGACGGCAGGGGAACACGCTGCGGAGGAGAGGAAGGACGACGGACTACGAGGTGGGTGCCGGTGACAGCCGGCTGAAGCGAACGAGAAACACGACGACCAGGACGACCAGAACGGACAGGCGAGACAGGACGCGACGCAGGCTCACGACGCTCAGTAAGACCCCCCCCTTTCTACTCAGTGTAAGGAGAAGGAGCAGACAGCGGTGAGCCAGGCTGTAACGGAAGACGAGTAGACGAAGGGAGACTAAGAACCTGGTGAGGTACAGAGTCAGACGGTGGCTGGGACGACGGAGACGGTGGAGCGAAGAACAGGCGCGGCTGTGCAGCGCCACCAGCACCAGCTGCTCCAGCACCCCCAGCAGCTCCAGCACCTCCAGCAGCTCCAGAACCCTCAGCGCCAGCTCATCCAGGACCAGCTCCACCAGCAGCAGCACCCCAGAACCGGCACCTACAGTCCCAGGGTCTCCAGTCTCAGTGACTCCAGTAGCAGCACCCCCAGACCCAGGGTCTCCAGCAGGAGCACCCCAGGCTCAGCACCTCCAGCCCAAGCAGCTCCAATACCTCTAGTACGAGCGCTCGTACTAGAGGTATTGGAGCTGCTTGGGCTGGAGGTGCTGAGCCTGGGGGTGCTCCTGCTGGAGACCCTGGGTCTGGGGGTGCTGCTACTGGAGTCACTGAGACTGGAGACCCTGGGACTGTAGGTGCCGGTTCTGGGGGTGCTGCTGCTGGTGGAGCTGGTCCTGGATGAGCTGGCGCTGAGGGTTCTGGAGCTGCTGGAGGTGCTGGAGCTGCTGGGGGTGCTGGAGCAGCTGGTGCTGGTGGCGCTGCACAGCCGCGCCTGTTCTTCGCTCCACCGTCTCCGTCGTCCCAGCCACCGTCTGACTCTGTACCTCACCAGGTTCTTAGTCTCCTTCGTCTACTCGTCTTCCGTTACAGCCTGGCTCACCGCTGTCTGCTCCTTCTCCTTACACTGAGTAGAAAGGGGGTCTTACTGAGCGTCGTGAGCCTGCGTCGCGTCCTGTCTCGCCTGTCCGTTCTGGTCGTCCTGGTCGTCGTGTTTCTCGTTCGCTTCAGCCGGCTGTCACCGGCACCCACTCGTAGTCCGTCGTCCTTCCTCTCCTCCGCAGCGTGTTCCCCTGCCGTCCCCTCCTGCGTCTTCTCTGCCTACCGTTCCTGAGCCTGAGTCTGACCGCACCCGTGCTGCTCACTCTACTGTCACGCGTCTGCTAGCCACAGTTGTCACTGACCCGTCGTTTGAGTCTGCTGCTGCGTCTGCCTTAGTCGCTGAGCTTGTTGACTTTGCTGCTGCCTGTCGTCTAGACTACGCCGCTAGTCTTGTTGCTGAGTCAGAGTCTGTCTGTCCTCCGTCCGTCGGGGGTGAGTGTGCTCTTGGCACGGACGTCCTTGAGGACAGGCAGGAGGACCTTGAGTGTCTTGCAGCCGCTGCGCCTCATCTCGTGTCCATGCTGCTTGCCCCTGAGGGAGACCCGGATGCACCAGACATCCCGACCCCGCACTCTTACGCTGAGGCGATCGCGGGTGAGTACTCCTCTTAGTGGCAGACAGCCATGGACGCAGAGATGGCATCCTGGAAGTCCACAGGCACTTGCGTTGACGAGGTTCCCCCTCCTGGAGCGAACATCGTCAGTGGCATGTGGATTTTCAGGGTGAAGCGGCCGCCAGGTTCTCCGCCTGTCTTCAAGGCTCGTTACTTTGCTCGAGGTTTCAGTCAGCGAGAGGGAGTAGACTTCTTTCAGACCTCTCCCCCACCCGAAGATGACCACTCTTCGGGTGCTGCTACACGTTGCCGCTCAGCGTGACTATGAGCTTCACTCTCTTGACTTCAGCACAGCTTTCTTACAGGGCAGCCTACACGAGGAGATCTGGCTGCGCCGCCCTCCTGGCTTCACTGGGTCGTTCCCTCCTGGTACCCAGCGGAGCCTCCGGCGGCCGGTCTACGGTCTCCGCCAGGCACCGCGTGAGTGGCACGAGACACTGAGGACTACACTTGCGGCCCTTGGGTTTGCTCCGTCGACTGCAGACCCGTCGATGTTTCTGCGCACCGACATGTCGCTACCGCCGTTCTACATCCTCGTGTACGTCAACGACTTGGTCTTTGCCACTGCTGACACTGAGGCTCTTTCCCTGGTGAAGTCGGAGCTGCAGAAGAGACACACGTGCACAGACCTGGGTGAACTGCGCAGCTACCTTGGCTTGCAGATCACCCAGGACAGAGCACGCCGCACCATCACACTGACTCAGTCACACATGGTGCAGCAGTTCCTTCAGCGCTTCGGCTTCACCAGGTCCTCGCCACAGCACACTCCTCTGGCTACAGGCCACTCGCTCTCCGCTCCACCTTCGGACGAGACCGTAGAGCCGAGTGGCCCGTACCCAGAGCTAGTGGGCTGCCTCATGTACCTGATGACCTGCACTCGACCTGACCTTGCGTACCCTCTTGGCCTTCTGGCTCGCTACGTGGCTCCTGGTCGGCACCGAAAGGTGCACATGGATGCTGCGAAGAGGGTACTGCGCTACTTGTGCGGTACATCGGGCATGGGGCTCGTGCTTGGAGGGCGGAGCGCAGTTGTCCTCACTGGGTTGACGACCAGGCTACGCAGCGGTCGTCACAGGGTTACACCTTTAGCCTTGGCTCTGGTTCAGTTTCTTGGCGTTATACACGCTCGTC